ACCTCAAAAAAACCCCAAAACAAACAGACAAACAAAATAAGGGAATCCAGTTGAGATCAACTCCTAGTGACCCTATTGGACAGGGTAGAACTGCCCCTGTGAGTTTCCAAGACTGTAACTCATGGAAAAGAAAGCCCTGTCTTTTTCCTGTGGCAAAAAAAAAAAAAAAAGAGGAAGAAGAAGAAGAAAGGGAGGGAGAGGAAGCCGGGAGAGGGAAGGAGAAAAGGAGGAGGGGCTAGAGAGAGAGGGAGGGAGGAGGAAGGGGGTCATGCTGTATAAGGCTGTCCCTGCGCTGCTATTTGTACTGACTTCCTTGGATCTGGAAACTCCGGATGGCTCAGGGACCTGGAACGTCCCGAGGAAGTTCTTTAACATGGTTGCAAAGGGTTTGTCTCCCGAAGGTTCCCTCCTCCTCCGAGGAAGAACGAGCAGCAGGTGTTTCTGGCGGCTTTAGGGCGGTGTGAAATCACGCTGGAAAACCCTGCTCCGCACCAGGTTGCAGCCGCAGTTTCAGGGTTCCTCCCTAATGCATACTTAAGAGGGCTGAGCCATCCGTGGAGGAGCTGCTGACACCACAAGCTGTGGCCTGGAGAAACACCGGGGTGCCGTTGGGAGGCCAGTTCACTCTTCTCTGGATCCCAGACTCGGGATACCCATCTCTGTGCAGTGTCCCTGCTACACAGCGCTGGCCCGCAGGCTGGTTCTACTAAGGCTTTCTGTTATTTATTTCAAAACAGAGGAGCCTACGTACTGTGGAGTTCAAGATGGTCCTCAGTGGGGTGCTGTGCTTCCGGTGAGTATCTGGACCCCTGACTCTGATGGGGTGGTGTCCCCTGGGGGAGCTGAGTCTGAGTAGACCAGTTTTCCAGGCTTGTGGGGCAGAAGTGGGCTGCAGGTGCTCTGAGCTGTGGTTCTTGCAGGCGGGACAGGTAGTTGGGAAAATGTGAACAGCACCTCGCTGCATGAGAGACATTCTCCAGACTTCTCCAGCTACTTCACCGGGGCTCCCTGAGGTTGAGGAGGGACAAATGATCTCCCTGAGTGGATGCTAGGCTATGAGCAATGAGAGTGGACCCAGAAGTCAGGAGACCTGGCTTGGCATGCTGCTGTTGCCACCCACCTCACTAAATTGATGTCAACCCAACTGTTTTGTGATGCTGCCTCCTTGCTGTCTCTTGCAGATAAAATATAAATAAATGTCCGTTTACTAGCATGTACTAGAGCCAGGCACTCTGCTATGCGCTGGATTTTACAATAGAGAGGGAGCTTGCTCCTGGGTTTGATGGACCTCAGACTCTAGAATAGCATCCCCCGAGATGTACCCCACAAACCTAAGGTCCTATGAGATGCTCTTTCTACAATGAAGCTCCCTGGTCATAAATGTGGGAAAGGAAGTTTTCTGTGGCCCCTTCATCAAAAATGACCATGCAATTCAGTATATTAATGATTTCCTGGCTGTCTGAAGTAAAGAGACTTGCTTAATTGTATTTAGCTGAACCCCAAACCAATGTCCACACGGCATACTCCCCAGCTCCCGCCTTATTGTACAGCTGGAGAAACCCACATTCAAGCACATCTTTTATCTCGCAAGGCATTCAAAAATAGATTCAGATCATAGAAAAAAATTTCAAAAAGTAAAATGAAGGAGTTAAATTAAGAAGTTCCTCACATAGTAGGAAAATCTGTGTCTTGATGTCATTCATATAAATGAAGAATCAAGTTTTAACCCAGGTGGGGGTGGGTTGGGGCAGGGGGCGGGGATTGGGGGAAGGAGAGTGAGAGGTCAGAATTGTAGTCAGTTCTGACTACTGGACAGACTAGAACTGGCCCCTGGTGTTTCTGAGGCTCTAAATCTTTACTGGAGCCGATAGCCTCTATTTTCTCTTAAGAGCAAGTGGTGGATTGGAACTCCTGAGCTTGTGTTAGCAGCACAAGGCATAACCCACGTGGCCACCAGAGCTCCCTACACTGGCCTGGACCTATGGTTTATCTACCTTAGAGTCTTAGTTTAGCAATGGAAGGCTCCGGCCCAGAGAGGGCAACCAATGAGCCCGGGCCTCTGACTCTCAGCCCAGTTTCCTTCCCAACACAAAACAGGTGATTGGTGATATAGACAAACAAAACTGACGAGGATGAAGGAGCAAACTGCAGTCTCTGAGGAGAGACCAGGATGGGATGGGGCCTATAAATACAGTAAGATCCCAGCAGGGCTAGGAGAGAAGACAGAGAGGGAGATAAAATGCCTGCTGCAGGGTGACTGGCTCTCTGGAGTCAGCCACCTCACAGAGCCTCACGCGATTGCCATGCTGCAGAATGAAGGACTCAGCTCTGAAGGTGCTTTACCTGCATGAGAACCAGCTTCGGGCCGGAGGGCTGCACGCCGGGAAGATCATTAAAGGTTCGTGGCACCAGACCCTACGACTGTCACAGGTCTTTGCACCTTTTGAGGGGAGGGGACCTCAGGAGGGCTTAGGATCGCCATGTAAAGAACACAGGCCCAGGAAGCCCAGGCCTGGTCCACTGGCTCTGGTGGGATCTCATGGGTTCTGAGGAAGGACAAGAAAGCGAGAAGATGGGTTTCTGTGTGGCTGCAGACGGTCTGCGAGGTGGGAGCATTTTCCATGAAGAATGTTTTGACAATACATTAGAGGCGGGCTTTGTTCCATCAGCCCATTTTCCAGGGAGCCAGTGCCAAGACACAGACTCAAGCAGGCTCTCTATGCCTTTCTACCCATGGGGCTTGGGTCCCCTCTGTTCACTGAGGGATCTCGATTTCTCAGTGTACTGGGGCCAAAGAGTGGGTGGCATGCCCTGGTGCTTGCTCTGCCCCCTGGCTCCACTGTACCAGTGACTGCTTTCTAACACGTGGCTCCCTTGCTCCCCGAAGACACTCTCCCCTGGTGCTAATGCCCACTGATACCAGACTACCTGTGAGTAGTAGGATGGTACAGTGAGGGATGGGACCCTCCTCTGTTTTCAGGAATCTCACAGGGAGCGGGAGGGCAGGGGCACAGAAAGATATCCAAAGGATTTCAGTGGGAGACTGAACAAGGCCAGGAACAGACAAGAGGGCAGAGAGCCACAGTGTGCTATAGCAGGAGTTCAGAGCAATCTTGGAGATAAAAGAAGACGTAAGCAAGGCCTAGAAAGGCAAGGATAATTTCATCCTGAGCAAAGGGATCGGGTGGAAGATGGTACAGTTTACTTCTAGGTCCCCAAGTTCATTCTGGGCTTACCAGCCAGAGATACCCTTCTCACCACCTCTTTCTGCAGGCTTGATACAACAAAGAAGATAGTGGGAGGCTTTCCTTCGGCCCGGCCTCACGATGGGGTATCTCCACAGATCCTGCTCTCCAAAGTCGGGCCCAGGGAAGAGGGAAGGCAAGAATAGCCAAGACCACTCTATCTGGTTCTTCCTTCCCTAGGTGAGGAGATCAGCGTTGTCCCCAATCGATCACTGGATGCCAGGTTCTCCCCAGTCATCTTGGGCATCCAGGGAGGGACCCAGTGCCTGTCGTGTGGGATAGGGGAGGAGCCAACCCTGAAATTAGAGGTAAGTCCTTTCAGGCTCCCTCCCCATCTTGTGACTAAGTCAAGAGATACTGAACCCACTGTGGGTCTGGTAGCTGAAGAGCCAGCGCACAGAGCACCATGACAGGCTTTGGGTTCGTTTTAGCTCTGTCTCTGCTCGTGAGCCTTGTCTGTTTTCTCTGCCCAGCTCTCCTCTGTTACCCCTGTCCATCACCCACTGTGTGCCCCTCTGCTCGTAGCCAGTGAATATCATGGAGCTCTACTACAGCGCTGAAGAATCCAAGAGCTTCACCTTCTACAGGCGGGACACTGGCCTCACTTCCAGCTTTGAGTCGGCTGCCTACCCAGGCTGGTTCCTCTGCACGGTGCCTGAAGCCGACCAGCCTCTGAGACTCACCCAGCTCCCTGCAGATGCCAGCTTGGATGCCCCCATCATAGACTTCTACTTCCAGCAGTGTGATTAAGGCAGGGTGCCCTCAGAACTCCCTGGGCTAGGCGACCTTGGGCAGCAGATAGAGGAGGAGACTGATGGTGACCACTCCCTCTCTGCTATCACCGGGCATTGGGCCGCACTCCTTCTCCCGGGTCCTAGTTTAATTGAACATATCTGAGACTTACGTGAGGTTCATTCTGTACGTTCCTTCCTTATTGCATGGTCCTCATGCTGTGGGATCTTGTGCAAACCACCTGCGATAAACAGGAGTGACACCAATGACGTTCTAGGGGACCAGGTTTGGAGGAGTGGTGGCAAATAGTTATTTTCAATGGTCACTTGGAGCCTTTGGGTGGCACAAGTGGTTAACCTGCTTGTCTGCCAGCAGAAAAATTGCAGTTTTGAGTCCAACAAGAGGCAACTGGGAAAAAAGGCCTGGCGACATACTTAAAAAAAAAAATCAGCTATTTAAGACTATGAAGCTATGGAATACAATTGTATTCTGACACACATGGGATGCCATGAGTGGGAACGGACTTTATGGAAAATGCTGTTGTTTTCTGTACTTGTAGACCCAGTCGCCCTGCACTCTCTAAGCCACCCTGTCTATAGTTGAGCCCTATTGCCATCAGATGCCCACAGCGGTAGTGTCACTCACGACAGGGGAGGGGAGAGCGGGTGGGCGCCCTGCCAGCTCCCTGTCTCATCCCTTTACTGCTGCTGCCATCACATCCTTTTCCATGTCTGCCCAGGGACACTGGTCCTTGTTCTCTCGTCCTGGGCATGCTGGGTGGAGGTGCTCGAGGAAATGGTTCCAGCTTAGGAGGCGATGGGAGACGGGCAGGGCGTGTTGTGCATTTCTGAAACTCCAAGTTCAATAAAAACCCAAGAAGCTGGTCTCTATGCATATGAGATATATGCTCACGCTACCTTAAGTGAGAACAGCATGTTAAAAGGTAACCTATTGTTTAATTCCATGTTAGTGAAAAACAAAAACAGAACAAATCCTCCGACCTGTAGAGTTCTGCATAGAAAAAGTCTAGAAGCATGGGTTTGAATTTTAGCCATGTCAGGGTGATGTCTTTCTTTTGGCTATTTTTTATTTCTTTGTACTTTCTACACGGATGATAGGACACTTGCATGATAATGAAGAAAATAAATGAATCCTGAGCTAAGCAGCGTGGGCATCGCATTTCTCACGATTGTCCTCTGCTTCCGTGTCCCTTAGAACTGGAGTGGACTTGAGCTCTGCCACTGTCCACTGTAGAAGCAGGGTTCAAAAGACAGATTTGGGTGAAGCAACTGAGAAAGAGGACCTGATGGGTTACCTGTGGCTGGGATCTCATGAGCATGCCATTTACATACAAAAAATAATTCCTATCATTTGACCTGGAGATGCTAACGTGTGATGGTCATATTTCCAAAATGCCGCCAATGATTCATAAGTAATATATCCCCTCTTGCCTTGACCCAACATTGATGTAACCAATTAAATACAGCAGAAGTAGTGGCCTGTCATTTCCAGAATTAGATGCAAATAAAAACACTGTGGCTTCTATCTTGGGATTTCTCATTCTGTCCCTTGAACCACTCACTCTGGACAAAAACAACTGACAGTTGTGAGCCGGCCTTTAGGGAGAAGGAGTGCAGGTGGTGAAGGAGTGAAGTCTGCACCAACATCACATAAATGAGCTTGGAAGCAGATCCTCTAGCGCAGGGGTTCTCCACCTTCCTCATGCAGCGACCCTTTCACAGTTCCGCTTGCTGTGGTGACCCCCCAACCATAACCTGATTTTCCTTGCTACTTCATCACTGTCATGTTGCTACTGTGATGAATCAGGCGACCCCTGTGAAAGGGTCGCTCCATCCCCAAAGGGGTCGCGACCCACAGGTTGAGAACCGCTGCTCTGGACCCAGCGGAGTCCTCTCTGCGGTCTTCAGCTTCAGGGGGAACCCAGGGCCCTAATCACCCCGTTACGTTGCTCCAGACTCCTGACTCGGGAAGTGCCTCCTGTTCCGGAAACCTAGGATGCAAAAATAACGAACAATTCACAGGAAAGGAGCAATAAATGGACTTGTTTATAATGGCTGTGGTTTTGTCCAACATTCTTTCTTTTCTTCCCAAACAACTGCTTTTTAATTTTCCCAAGTGGTCACTTTCAAAAGTGTACATACTAAATTTGTTGCATAATTTCTCTCTCCGAGAGATTTACCATCTTTCTTGACCATCTTTATACTTTCAGTCATACAGAAAAGAAACTGTCTCCAGTTTCTTATTAAACTGCAAGAGAAGAGCAGAGGAGAGACCTAGATCTGAGCTTCCGTATATTCCACATTCACTAATCAAACCAGCCCGGCAGGTTCAACGTCTGCTGAGGGACTCGTAAGGAGGCAGCCAGAGCAGAAGGGGCTGCCTCTGTGGTCTTAGCCGCTTAAGCTTAAAAGCAGCTTACTGGACAGCAGACAGGACAACTCTTACCACTTGGCTCTCAAGGAGGAAGAGAACATGAGGTGCAGGTTCCAGGCTGTGCTTCTGCAGGCCCAGTACGCATTCTTTCTAGGCCCATATACCCAGATACAGTTTCATGTTGCTCCCTCTGCTTTTAAACTCTTCGCTCATTCTCTTTGGCTAAAGTAATCTTTAGTCTTTTAAGATGCTGCTAAGATGTTACGCACTTAGCAAAGTTAGGAAAACTCTTAGTCATAACTAAATGCCTTGAGAAAATAGTCGCTGTCCCTTGGAGCTCAGGACCTTAGTCTCATGGGATAGTGAGCTCAATTGGTATAACATATTGACACAAACAATGCTGTACACCCTAATTTGGTTAGTGATGATTGGGATCTTAAAAGCTTGAGAGTCAGTACTCCCTCAATGCAAGAATACTTTGTTCTATGAAACTGGCATTTCATGATGCCCACCTTCTCGACACAACTGCTGAAGACAAAGTGGGTGCATAAGCAAATGTGGTGAAGAAAGTTGATGGTGCTTGGCTATCAAAAGATATAGCATCTGGGGTCTTAAAG